GAAGGGATAAGGCCAAGTAAAGGGATCAGTCATTGATTCATAGAGCTCTTCTGTAAACCTTCAATCATTTTTGTACACGGAAGAATAGAAATGAAATATTTGCGAAATTTAAATAAACAATTGGCGGCAATCGCGAAATTGAAAGTTGTATTGGGGATAAAATTTGGCAAATAGGTGTGAGAATGATGATACGCGATCATCGTGCACTGATTGGCATTGCTATAGATTTATATAGACGGATACATATCCTATCGATTTCCGACGCGTCGAATAAACGCGTCGATGAACATTGCGCGGAAAAACGTAAATCGAAGGGAGGAAATTCGTTGTCCGTTCGAACCAAGCTATATTCCAAATCCAAGTGGATTAACCAATCGAATTCAAAAATTTGATACAAACAGTAGAGAAAGGATATTCTGTTCTCTCTCTTCTTCTTTTTTTTTTATTTAATTTCCTCCTTTTATATCTCGAAGCTAAAAGATCACGAGCAACGTATCCCCCCTCCCCCTATTAACCTCTCGCAGAATTACCGATCCATCGATTTAAACAACTTTCAAAAAAATTTCAAAAATTCTCTCCGTTCCTTTTCTCGAAAGTTATGTAGTTTATCTTCCCTTAGATAACTCGTTCTATGAAAAGAAGGGCGACGTGAACCTCGCCCCAGCGGTTTTGATACCGAGCCACTTCGTAAAAGGAGGTTCCATTTACATCGTCGACACAACCGTACCAGCCGTTGCCGTACGAATATCCGATGCTCCACGTCTTCGCGCGGATTATTCGTGTAAATGGGATTGTTCACCGAGCCAGCAATTTACAGCCGAGCGAGCAAGTAATACGCCGATTCTTCTCGAGCTCCTTCTGATATTCTGCCTTGCGCCCCCCTCCTCTCCCCTCTCCCCTCTTTCGTTTACCAATTGAGGAGATTGGCCAAGATTATTTCGTATTTTCCCACTTTTCCTCGGCCTGTCGCCAAAGTTAGAATCGATCGATGCTCGAACAGAATTTCGTGGAACGAGCAACGGCGTTCGCCCAATCGGATTTCTTTTCTGTCTTTTCGGATCGGTCATCGGACGAGCTTTTAAACGGGATTCGCGTAATTCTTCTGCGGATTTAAGATAAAATTAGGATTAAAAATTGTAATAAATGTTGTGATCAAGTTAATAGGTTCAAAAATTTTCTTCCAAAGGATTCAAGATACCCAAGATATGGTGTATTCGTTCTTATTAATTCGGATTATGTTTCGATATATTTTCGAATATATCGAAAAAGGGAGGATTATTTAGGAGAAAGATTTTTCGTTTTCGAAATTTTCGATCGAAAAGGAAACTCGAGGATTCGAGTCTGCACAAGTTAAAAACTCTGATTACAATTATCAAAGTTGAAATGTCACCTAGCTCGAACGATATTATCGCGCCTCTAATCGTATGAGCACAAGGACGGTGTAAGCAAACAGGTATATCTCTGGCCGATGACGAAACATGGAAAAGGGAACGATCGATGATGTAGGCACGACTAATTCAACATTCACCGATTCTATTGGGTGGAAGCTTCGATAAATGGAAAATTCTCCGATAGGGAATGGCCAGATAAAGCTTTCCAGAACGAATTACGTTTCCAAGAATGAAGAGCAGCCAAACGTTTACTTACTTATCTCGTTATAATTAGTTATTTCAACAAATTGAATTTAAATGGAACACATTTTTGTTTGGAATTTCGCATCAGCCGCCATTCTTAGAATTTATACAGAAACGCTTTGGATAGATATCTTTTATCGAAGCATAAAAAAAAGATACGGATCTTTTAAACACATTTGTGTATACAGGAATCGTTCGAAATTCTCTGAAAATATAAAAATCCCATTTCTTTCTCCGATAATTTTTTTAATTCAGATTTAAAAATTATCTGATTTCTCGTACAAAGTGAGAACTAGTCTATATTTTACTACTCTGTTATTCATTTAATCTCGGGCTAACCTAATCACTTTTAGTTAGATAAGGACAGATTGATAATCCTTGACCTACTACGCTATGGAAATAAATTTTTTTTTTTTATAATACATATATATTTCTATATCTATAAAGAAAATAATCAGTGGACGTGGACAATAGAGACATTGAAAAATTCAAATGAAAATTCCTCAAATGAAATTGTATTGAATAGCGCGATTTCGAGTTCTAAGAATCTTTGAGCACGTGCCATATCCAGTGATCGTTATTTTTAATTTTGCCCAACATCGGAATTATCTTCGAACGACACAAGAATTGATATCGCGGTTAATTATTATTTCCACCAGACATTTCGAAACGACATAACACGATACGAGGCACAAAAAAACAATTATTATTATAAGAATTAAGTTTATTAAGTAAGAATTAAGTAAGATTTTGAAATAGATCTTTAAATATCCACCGCAGTTGATGCGTCAAAGCATGATGCACTGCGCTGGACGTATGACTCTTGGACACGTCATAGGCGCAGTAATTTCTGCATTTTCCTCCCATGATTTCATTATTTTATCTTCAAAAGCGACGCCGTTCTAATTTCCTTTGAGACAACATCTGTTTCAATGTCATGGAAGAAATCCAAAGAAACAGAACAAGTGACACAAAGAAGAAGTTTACGTAATCCTATGTAGACCGTGAAAAAGGCCTAAACGCAAGGTGTTTCTAGCTTCGAATAGGGAAAAAAAAAAAAAAAAGAAAAAACGTGTCGTTACGTCAAAGATCGCAAGATTTATCTCGTGAAAAGAGACTCTCAAGGACTCCGAGTTTTGCCGCGTAATAGTATCCCAGTTTCGTATCGTATAAAAAGATGTCTAACCAGAATCAGAGAGGAGCAAAAAAAAATAATAAACGGCGTAATAGTGTTTCAAAAAAAAGAAAAGAAAAAAAGAGAGAGTAACTTCTTACACGATCAATAACCTGTTATCGTCCATTTTCATTTGCCTTTTTTCTCTTTCTATCATCTTAAAATCGAGTTCTATAAATGATAAAAAACGAAACGAAACTAAACGAAACAATTAACGCACAGTTAACTGGAAGCCCCGAAAAAGAAACGGTTTCGAGGTGATCCTGCATCCCGATCGCTGGAAAAACCAGTCCAACTGCCCCAATAAATTATCCGGATGCGACGAGGGGCCGAGATCTTTATTCTCCTTAACGGTAACGATCGATTTGCATAAACAACAACATCGAGGAAACGCGCGGTATCACTCGCGTTCCTTGACCCTGCGACGAGAAGAACCCTCGAGCGCGGGCCACGCCGAGAAGGGTCTTTTATCCGTGCGCTAACCCTTCCCCTACCCGCGGCATTCCTTAGCGCTTAGCCTTAGAGAGCTCGTGGAAAGAGGATCGGAAGAGGAGAGGCGAGCGAGCAACGCTGCTGCACGGAGCATGCCCTTGCTACCAAGGTGTAACGTCCCGATACACCAGTCTGACCACTCTTCCACTCTCCCTTCCACCCTCCCCTGCCCTTCCTCCCCTCCCGAGCCATCGTTTCGCCTCCTTAGAACGAGCCTGTACTCTTCTCCTCGTACTCGTACTCGCGAAACTTTCTAACCCAACAATTTTCAGGAAACACAATTTTCTGTATTGAGTTCCCCTCTTGGAGTTTCGAATTTCTTCGAAATTATTTATTTATTAATTTGTTGATTCGATATCGTTGATTGAGAAAATAAAAATTCTGAATGCATAAAGTGATTTTATGTTTCTGGCACTGCAGCAGCATTCTACATACGATGATAACGTTTCGATTTTGATTTCGTTAAACATCATATATAATATATTGATTTCGTTCGTCGAAAAATGTCTTACTTGGAAGGAACTTTCGAGGCCGGATAGAAGAACGTTGTAGGTTTGTAGGTAGGTAGGTAGGTAGATAGGTAGTTTGATGACGCGTATCTCCATAGATGAAAATTGAAAACTGGAGCAAAAATAGCAGCGAGTAGGTCGAGCTCGCGGCCGATTTGAATTTCATTCAACTCGACGACCCTCGGTTTGTTTGCGTTCTCGTGGCGCGAGAAATGGCCACAACGAGTAACGAGTTGTATCTCTTTGGATCGGTCGATGGTCACCCAAATCCTTTCGCGATTCAGGCGCTGGGGATTTCACGATTATCGCTACGAGACATAGCGCTAGTATCGCGAATACATAACGAATAGCGATATCAAAGTGGTAGATAACACACAGGATGCAACGTACAATTGCGTTTCTAAACTTAGAACTGTGATAAAGCGACTGCGCGCTGTTCTTTAGCCGTTTCTTACGACCGGATAATACATGGATATAGTACATGGAATCTTGTATAATATAATAATTTTCTTATTGTTGTTTTTTTTATCATTTCGTTCTATAAAATTCTATTTTAAAATTAGAATAGAAAAATTTAATAGAGAGAACTGGAATAAACTAGAATGATTTGTAAATATTCTAATTCTAGGTCATTCTCGATGATAAAAAAAGATATACGTACAAACAGCATAATCTCGCAGTCGAGTAACGAGTAACGCTTTACCGATAATCAAACAAAAACAAAAAAAAAAGGACAAAGATACAGGTATACGATAAACATACATTTTCATACAAAATGTCACAATGTTTAACTCCGATAAAATTTTCATAATTATCTTACGCTATAAATTTTTCTGAATTATCTTCTCGTTAAAATTTCACAATATTTTTATAATACCACGCCTTTTCATTATTATTCACGAGAGAAAAAAGATCAATGTCCCCTCCACATACCCTTTCCACTCTATTCTCTAAGCAAATTAAAAAGAAACGCAACCGATTCCTCATTCTTTTCCAGGCTACCCTTATACGGATCGCCTATGGCTTGTAAATAGCGTACGTTAGCCAACGAGGGGATCGAAACGCGAAGGCAAGGAGGCCGGTATTGGTCCGCGTGTCGTCACTGAATTCCACGCGGCCGCGTGCTTCGAATACGGAATAAAGAGCGCGGTTGCATTCTTGCCGCGTCGAAATAATAAAACTGTTACTCACCAATAACGATGTTCGCCGCGGTTCCCTCCGGAATGGATCGGCAGTAAACCCTGCACAGAGAAAAAAAGGACAAGCGTCCAATTAATCCACGCGTAGATATTACGAAGCACGCTCTCTCTAACCAAATATCAATTCCTTCGAGCCTCTCCTCTCTTCTCCAACTGCGCACCACACGCACACGTACACACGCACACGCACACGCATACGCACGACGACACGCTTGTCCGACCTCTATATCAAAACACGCTTTGTTGCCTACTGACGTAATACTACTACGCTCGTTTCATCCGTGAAAGTTGCCACCGCGTACTGGCCACGTCCCTTATCTTCACACGCGGTGCACTCGCGATCGAGACAACCGATTCTCATCCTTCGAACGCTTCGCTCATCCTTGACACGTTCACCCACGATTCCATTCGGATTACAATAATTCGAATTATCTATCAATTATCGATCAACACGTTTCTCTATCGCGCGTCACAGACCGTAGACGATGTTGATTCCCCGCTATCCGCTCGCAGTAATGGATACAAATTGCGATCTTCGTCGGATACGATTGTATCCAACGCTCGTTCAAACGGAATAAATCACACGTACGGTACGGTAAAACGTCAGATCATCCAGATATTTCTCGTATCGCGCGGTTAATACTATATGTAAGTACAACGCGATCGAGATCTCATTCGAGAAGGCTCCTTCGAAAAAAACCTATATATATATATATATATAAACGAGCACTGATACAACGCGCACTGTTTCACAAATTCTCCACCAACGAGTCACCAAACACGTGCACGCCCGCTAATTAACCGGCCAATCGGACAAGATGGTGAACGAGCAAGGTCGCCGCCGCGGTGCAACGCGTTCCTCTCGTCAATCGCCGCCCAATTAATCCTCTCCCTGAGAAGCGACCGAGCAAACTGCGTCTGTCTGCCCGGCCCGGCCCGATTTCGAGGCCCGAAACACCGAGACACCGTCAAGGTCGGAATACCGCGAAATCAGAGCGAAAGGAAAAGAACTGAAAGTGAGAGAGAATGAGAGAGAGAGAGAGAGAGAGAGAGAGGGAGGGAGAGAGGGAGAGGTCGAGCTAGGTCATGGCCAGAGTCGGCCGTACCTTGAATTATCCTTCGATCCGCTGCGATCCGCGTGTATCACGATCAAGGATTCGAGAGAGAAAGAGAAAGAGAAAGAAAGAGACAGAGAAAGAGAGAGAGAGAGAGAGGAGGATGCGTGTAGGATCGGAAGAATAATCGACGCTAAGGTAGAGAACACAGAACACGAGTTACTTCGCGAAATGGTGAACCCGCTTCTTCCAACGGAGTAGTCGTTGTCTACTAATCTCCACCCCCTCCCTGCCCTCCACGGCCCCCCTCCAACACTTCGGCCTCTCTTTCTTTATCGCATGTGTAAAGAGAGTGGGTCTAGTGGGGAGGACCGAGGAGTGAGATAGAGGGGGAGATAGGGGGCGGAATGTAGCGCGTAAGAGAGGCGGGAGAGAGGGGGGGAGATGTTTGTCGGAGAACGAAAACGCACATGTGTCGTACGTATATATAAGTAGTAAGTGCACTCCGGTTGCGATGCTACGACGTGAACGAATAATCCGGATGCATCTGGAGGGGCGGGTGGGGAGGCCTGGAGGGGGAGCGAAGTCAATGAACGAGTTCACCACAATCGCCACGCGGCGAGAGAATTTCACGGTTGCGGGCTTCTCTCTCTCTCTCTCTCTCTCTCTCTCTCTCGCCCCCTCCTTCTTCTTACGACTACCTGACGTTTCTTTCCACTCTTTCCTTTTACGCTTTAAATTTCTCGTTGCTCCTCTTTTATCTTCGAGATATTGTTCGAGTTGAGAATCGCGCTTAAGACGATTCAAGACGATTTAATTCGTTTTTTCTTAATGATTTAAAAAAGAATATATCGATAATGATTTTTCATTTTTACTGAATACAGAGCGATTAAAAAATAATTTTGTCTTATAGATGTCTTATAGATACGTCGATTTGGACTTGGAAATTCCTTTGACAAATCGTTTTACGACGCATCGCCGAGTTTTATCTCATTTCGCGTGCATTCGGACGAAGAAGAATGGAAGAAGAAGGAAGAGAACGAAGATAAAAGTATTTTTCTGTAATTGCATGGGACTCGAGGCGTACATGCACGATAATATCGAATAACATTAACACTCGCGCCGTTGTATCAACAGGAGGATCGCGAGTTGGCGAGAAACAGGAGGAGCTCGTTACCGAATGAACTCGGTCGAAATTTCAGAATTAAATTTAAATCTCATTCAACTTTACCGTTCACAGCGGCGAGTCGCGGATGTTGCAACACCGGGCACCGAAAATACGCTTCCCTCGCCCACTCGGCCACGAGAACGTTAATGCCGGCCTTTTCGCGGGCACACGAGTTCAGAAATTATCTGGAACCGTGTTTAGGATCACCGAATAATTTGATCCGCCCCGCGGTATCCGCCCCATCGTCCGGGGCCAACTTTTAATTGCGTTCCCTCGAAACGATGCCTTCCCTTTCACAAATTTAATCCGTCCCACTGCTAATGAACCGGCCGAACACCGGTTTGTTTCTAAAAATTTCACTCCTCGAAATTTAATTACGAAATTCACAATAAACAAACACGTTGCTCGAACAAATCCGGTCCTCGGCCACGGCCAAGGATCAACGAAAACGTTCGCACGGACGCGAAATGTAAATACTCTTTGTGTTAATAAACACATCGAAACCCATTTGAAAGGCAAGATTCTCTCAAAATATTTTACAAGTCGAACAAATTGAACGAGATTAATCATTCGAAAACTTGTTTCTCCCATTAACGTTTCTCGCTAATTACGAGTCTCGTCTACCTTGTTGTAACACCAACAGGATAAGAAAAGGGAGAGAGAGCGCATGTGAGAAACATTCGTGTACACGTGCATCGTCCCCGAGACAATGGGACACTCCTCCTCCTCCTCCTCCTCTTCTTATTCTTCTTCTTCTTCTTCTTCTTCGTGCAACTCGAGGAAATTCTCGACGATCTTCTTTTTTCCAGGAGCTAGACTCGGTTGTTGGCACGGCGAATCGACCAAGAACACGCGAGAATATCCGATGGCAACGCGGAAAACTGCGGCTCGGTTGCGGTGACTGCGACCGCATAGAAAAATGTAGGCCGCGGAAGCGATACCTGGTTGCCGAGGGATCGTCGCGAAATTCGCGATCGACCGATGCTCGGTCAGTCCCGGATAAGTATGAAACGTGACTACGTATCGAACGAGCACTCCTGCTCGTCAAGGATTTTACGTCGTTCATCGATTGGTCGCCAACTCGAAACTCGATTTTTTTTTTTTAGCGGTTGAACGACTATGTAAGTAACCGACACTGCGATGGAAATGTTTCTTCGACTTGGAAGTTGGAAGTTCGAATATGCCTGCGCGAGGAAGAAAAATGATATAAGCAGGGTGATCGGCTAACGTATCCGCTTCCCTTCGATCGATCGAACAGAGCGTCGAGTAAACCGATCGATAAACACGAATTCTTTCCCAACTATACGGAGAAGCTATACTTTAAGAAGCTTTTTAAAATCGATTCACATCGTATCGTAACAGCTGACTAAATATTATTTAAAATTATTTAACTCGTCAACTATACGTGTATACGAATATAATATCCATCCGATTCCACGACATATATCCAAATTCCTCGTGACAGGAAACTCGGCGGAAAGAAATTATTATATTTTACATGGAATCGTTGCGGAAGGATGATCGAGATACTATACCGAATTTTTCCAACTTTACCAGAGATAGGAACGAAACTGATTAGAAACTGAAAACTGAAGAAAAGTGAAAAATTGGGGACGAGGAGAAAGAGAGAGAGAGAGAGAGAGAGAGAGAGAGAGAGAGATAGAGAGAGAGCACAAATTGAGGCGAAACGTACTTCTTGCGTGCACAGCTCCACCGCGAGTTCCCGTGTTCCAGGTGAAGTTGACCGATTCCTGGATCCGTCCCGATATCCGCGTGCACAGCGGTTCGTGCACGTTCACACGTTCGCACAGTGTTACACGCGTAACGGTTCGCACGATGCGTGACATGCGTGTGCCGCGCGTATGACGTGGCGTGTGTGCGGAAGTATATTGATCAGCTGATGGTCGGGTGGATACTGGGCTGCCTCGCAGAATTCACCATATTGTTGCGTCAGCGCGCATGCGCCGAGCCCTCGCTTTCGTCCCTTCGTTTCACCCTTTTCGCGTGTGCGCCTCCCCCTCCCCCTCCACCTCACGATAACCCTTGCCAGACCGTGATGGCACGCCGCACTTTCTTCGCCGCCTTTTTCTCCTTTTCAATGGAAAAATCTCGGGGGGAGGAAAAACGAGTAGGACGGTGATAGGGTCAACGGGCTGCCCCGTAACGGGGTTGAGGAGATGAATTTGCGATCCGTGTACCGACAGCGAAAGTATTAACCCCGCGAAGCGTGATTCGAAGGCGTATTCGAGGAGTGAGTTATTATAATTTTATCATACGAGTGAGAATACATTTGAGAATAAAAGTTAAACGTTAGAATTATTGGTTCTTCTAGAGTTGTTATTTGTTATTCGATCGAGTATTTTTGATTTTTTTTTTTTTCTTTTTTAGATCGATCTCGGAAAACGGTCGATTTAAAATATTGGACGAGGTCGGCCAGTCGAAGGATCAGGAAAGCTTTGAACGACAATTTTGAGAACTTTCGATTTCCGGACGATTACAAAAAGCCAAGTCGAAGGAAGCCAATGTGCATCGTCGTATTTATTTCCGATAAAACTCATCTATTGTTGTTAAGTTTTTTTTTTCAACGATGTTTTAACAATTAATCACGTTGTCGAGCTATATATATATATATATATATGCCTAAGATTTTAAAGATGTGTGGAACTTAAAGAAAAACATCAAATTTTCCATCGATTGGTAAAACTGGCAAATGTGAAAATTGAATGTGCAAGGAATTTATCGGAGAAAGGCGCGAGTATTGTGCGTGTCATATCTATGACGCTTTCTAAATCCGCGAAAGCTTAAGTGCTAGCTATATTTATGCCGCTTGGAACCGCTTAGGAAATCATGTTCTTACGATGCAATAAAAGTCTTTTAGTCTTACTCGTCTCTAATGATTCGTAATAAACTTTATCCGAGAAAAACGAAGATTTTTTTCTCTCTCATTCCGTAAAAAAATACTCGATTTCTGTAGATCTCGTTCTTTTCGCCAAATTGGCGAGGGGACCGATTCGATTTTCGATTTTTTCAACGCGAAAATATCGAATAAAGCGATAATCTTCGGATAGAGTAGCGACAAAACAAACTTTTCGTTTCGTTAGATCGTATTCTTCGATACTATTACAAAACTAATTTCATCTCGAAGCGAGTCGCATTATGAATTTGTTTACTCTTTCTTGCAAAGTTTACTCTTTCTATGCAAAGTGAATTTTAAACATATACTCGATGCTTTTAATCTCTCTAACCGCCAACGAAAGGAATATCTATATCTTTTTAATTTGAATATATTGATCTTATTTGATCTCTGACGAGAATCTAATATTTTTATCATAAATTTTGGCAATTTTTCAAGAAACGATTTCATTTCCCCGACTTTGTAATATTTTTCTACGATGATACAATAGACGAATGAATTTTAAATTTAAAATTAGGAAAATTATAGGTTTTTTTCTCGCGAGGTTACTTTCCCTCGCGAAAAACACGAGTGGATCGTGAGGCGAATTTTGAGTTGGCCAAATTTTCATCGTTCGACCGATGAATTCCCATTTTTGTCGGTTTTCGGTTTTTGCGAATTAACCGCACTTCGGTTCCATCCGTTCGCAAAGAATTTCGCAGAGAGATTCGATAAGGGAATTATTTAGTTCGATGGCAACCGAAAGGTTAACAAGATAATTCTATCCTGGCGAAGCCAGTGGAACTTGGAAGCGACGCGAGTTCGTAACCTACTTTCGGCATAACTTCGCGTTTCTATTTAACCGGA